TAAGTGAGTTTAAGAAAAAGCTTGTCAAGTATATGAACAATAAGGGCTGGCTTTAAGATTTTTAAAATTATTTTAATTTAGAGGATGGAACAGCCAAGATGGACCAAAAGGTCCCATGTTGTCCCAAAACATTATGTAATGTATGAACTACAATAACATTGACCCTTTAACTTTCAAATAAAGATTAGTGGAGTTAGGAACCACTCCTAACTTTTTATTTTAGTCTTGATGGTTACAGTGTAATCTCCTAAGAGTGCAAGTTGAAGATTAAAAGTGACTGTAACAGTCTATGCTGTGGAGGATTGCTATTATCTATCCTAAATGCCATTAGTTGCTAGTTTTAGTATGAAACAACTCATTGAATGATTGTGAAAAAAAGCAGGTGTAACAGTGTGTGTGTGTGTGTATATATAAACACAAAAATGTATAATTTAAGGACAAAGGACCTGGTGGTCTATCTAGGCCAATTCATCCACTATACTAGATTTAATCTTTGTCAATAAGCACATAACGTGTCATTGGGCATGGGTTAACAAATAAAGTGGGTTTAGTCTGTGTTTTGTATCTCATCTATTATTTAATAGGTGAGAAGATAAGATGTATATTTTACTGCACAACTACGGCACTTTTACTTATAATATATATGTGTGAATACTGCATTGTCACAAACCAATCTTAGTTGAAAGATGAACCATACCTGTGTTTCTTCTCTGTAAATGTCAGTGTTTTAAAGACAGGCACAATGACATATGTTCACATTATTGTACTTTGTACATGTGGTCATCTCTTAGTTTAGTTATTAAAACTAAACTGTTTTGATTTGTATCTTAAGATACTTAAGGATTTTAGATATTTGTTATATTATGTTTGACTTGTACAAGTACAGTAGTTGTGTGTCATTTTTAACAATTATTGTTTGTTCTAGTGGTTTCACTATGCAAGAAGGGGATAAAAGACTTTGCATATGGAAGTGGGCCACATGTACTGGCCATTACTGAAAGTGGTGAACTATATAGTTGGGGACATAATGGTTATTGTCAACTAGGAAATGGAAGTACTAACCAAGGCTTAAACCCTGGCCTCATCTCTGCAAACCTTATTGGTCGTAAGGTGGTAGAAGTTGCTTGTGGAAGTCATCATTCCATAGCTCTTACTTCTGATGGTGAAGTATGTGGTCACAGAATGTGTATTGAAATATGTATATAATGTATAGTTCAGTGTGTATATTTATAAAAGACATGTGGTTTTAATGAAAGTGATTAACTTCTATTGTTCTGCTGTTCATTACATTATGTTGTAAGAGTTGAAATAGGCAGATTTCATAGAAATACAGTGCCTGTCATTTTTCTTCACTAGACTGAATGATATTTGATGCTTAATACAGAATAGATCCCAACTACATAATTGTCCCAAGAATAGCATCAGATTTACTAGTAACATCTCTTAATCCTCCAACAACACAGTGATGTTTCTGACAGCTACAGTTAGTTAATGCCATATGAAACATTCCTTTTTAGTCACAAACTTTTATCATTCAACCACTTTTTTCCATTGCTCTTTATAGTTGGGATGGTTTTCTTAAAACTTTCTAGAAGCTATGCTCTTCAGTATGTTAAATAAAGATTTTAAAAACTCTCAGAATATATTGTCCAATCACATCAAAACTCAAAATTGATTCTCTGTAACAGTTATAAGGTACATTATATAACTTGTCCTTATAGAATGATTTCTATTAAATCACTTATTCATCTTACTCAACATTGCTGGTTCTAATGGTTATGCAAATACAATATGCAAACTGTATGATGGACAAAAATAATTTTATTCTACACATGGACATCATTTTGCACTACAACTTGTCAAAGTCTTAGCAAGATTTACTTCAAATCACAGGCATATCTTGAGTATAAATATTTTTGTAACACATCTGATTTTTGTACAGTTTACTAAAAGCTTGTCATCATTTGATTAGATACACTTAGTAAACTTGGAATTATTGTCAACATTCTTTCTCCATTGAGCCGATCCTTTGCGCATTTGATTAATGGTGAGTTGCTTGCCGACAATTTGGAATTGGTACTCATATTGATTTCTAAATAATTTTCTTTCCTATTTCTTGCTCTCTGTGATGTTTTTCTGAGGTTTGTGTTTCTGTTTATCGTAAAGGAATCCATACAGGGAATGACAATGATGAGTTGAATCTCATTGCAAGTCTTCTGGACTTTGATAAACCATCAGTAATTCACATGACTAATGATGTAATATCCATATTATCTTACACCAGCCAGTTGTCCAAATTCCTTTAGGTCTTGTCTTTATGTAATTTAACATTATAAGCACTTAGAAGGATTATTTTGTTCTATATTATTTCAGCTGTAGTTGCAGGAGTACATAAGGAATGTTTTTTGACTTAGGCTTAGTGCCCCTGAAATTAACTTTTGTTTTGTGTATTTGGTCAAAGTATTATGGAACTTTTCTACTGCTACATTATAATTTTTTATATATTACCTTGCCAGTATACTTAAGTCACTGTAGGAGTATGGTATCAAATTTAATTGGCCTTCACACTTTCACTTAGAACAATGTGTTCTAAAAATAGAATATGACAAATAAATATGAACATTTGTTTTTACAAAAAAAATTAACTTGAGTGATTTCATAAGAACTTGCTCAAAACTAGCTAATAAATAGAAAACAAATGTAGATTTCATCAACTTTACCTGCATAATGTACCAAACATTAAGTAGTATTCTTTAGAAATAAATGTACATGTATAATATGAATTCAGTAAACAGTTCCATCAATGATCCTGTAATACTTGAAAAATGTAGAAAATTGCTTGAATTGAAAACAAATGGTAAAAATGTGTAATACATTTTTTTTCTGTGCTCAGAACAGGAGTTTAACATTTTCCCCTTTGAATATCTTTTGTATTGATTATTTTTAGCAATTGCCATTAGCTGTATGTAATTTTGCTTTGTATAGGTTTATGCTTGGGGACAAAACAATTGTGGACAAGTAGGATCGGGTTCAACAACAAACCAACTTACACCTAGAAAAGTAACTGCGGGAATTGGTATGTTGTGCTGTCAAATCTATGTAAGAAATTAGGATTTATTTTTCTGTCCAAGTAAAATTATTTAAGTGATTTCAACAATTTCCAGAATACTTACTATACATCTATGTGTGTTTAGTGACTTCAGGAATTACATCTTTGTCATATTTATTATATACTTTTTAAAATTATATTTATTAATTGGTAAGTGTGTGGCATGGCCTAATGTTAAGTGTGCTGGACTGAACCTAAGGATTTGTGGTGCCCCTTGGCAGAAAATCTCATTCCACATACTGGGGTCATGACTACATTATAACAGTGATGATCAAATCTCAATATTCAATTAGAGTACCTCAGGAGCAGGTGGTGGTGGGTGTTGTTTACTATTTGTCTTCCTTCTGGTTTATCAGTTTAAAGTTAGGGATGGCTAGTAGTATAATATTAACAATACTGTGGTTATGGAATATGAAATTATAAGTTATAACATGGTTTCTTGTATTTAATTTGATCAAACAGAGGAAACTAGCTCAATTCTGTAAATTAAAAGTTTGAAATATGTAATAGAAATATTACCATATATTCAGTCAAATTTGCTAAAACTGTGTTCAATGCTATAACATATGTGTGCAGTATAAAGAAGTAAGCAACATTATAGCTAATTTTTGTAATTAAGAACTCCACTGTTTCTTAAGATAATTAGATAGTTTTAGCTCTTTCTATATTAATCAGATAATTTCACAAGCCTATTTTTGAAAAATTAAAATCTTCTCTACTTGTATTAATGTTCAAGCCATCCAATGAATGTAAATAAGTTGAATATCAGTGGTCATAAGTAAAATAACAAAATCACTTCCCTCTGTGCATGCTGAGAAATTAAATTATTCTATGTTACTACGAATATATTCAATATTTTATTATAATTTTTATCACAGAACGAATTCTCTGCAAATACTGTGCATTAGTGTAGTAGAAACAATTTCGTTAGCTTTTATTGTGCCATTAGCTTTATTTTGTTTGTTACTTGTGTAATTTACATAAAAAAAGGTAGCACATGTCATATATATTGGAGATAATTATTGAAACATTGAATGAAATGAATATTAATTGCAAATATTACTTAATTTCTCTTGCTCTGTTGTATGAAAATGTACCATCAGATCTTGATAGTGTACACTGTGAATGGAACTATACAGCCAATCACAGTGTCATACTAGCATAATGTCTATAAAAGCAGAAGTTGTGGTATTTTCAGCAGTAATGTGGTGCATCCATTCATTGCTTATATGACTGAAATGCCACATATTGATGCAAAAATTCATGTTTCACTAGGAATTTTATGGAAACTGATGCAGATAAGTTAAACTAGTGTTATTGATAGTAGAAATGGTCAAGTAAGAAAGTACCAACTCTTTAAAAGTGATGCTCAGTATGTGATACACAACAATCCAGTAAAGGTCTTATTAATGAGCTAGCTGTAAACACAGGTGTGAAAGTTACCTTTAGAACAGTAAGACATGTATTAGCATGAAGTGGTCTCAATGGATGTGTAGCTGCTCTAAAATTGTTGCTTAAGAGAGATAATCAAACCAAAAGACTAAAATTGGCATCAGACGTCAAACAATGGGAGGGTATTCTTTAAAAATGAATCCAAATTTAAAGTTTTTGGCAATGATCAATGATAGCTTGTTTAATGGCAGAGAAGAGAATAGTATGAAAGTCAATATACAAGATCTACAGTGTAGCATGCTGGAAAATCAGTACAAGTGTGGGCTACATCTCTGTCAATGATATTGGAGTTCTACACAAATTAGATGGCACCCTGATATCTGGTAGGTACAGTCAGATTCTTATCCATCATGTTATTCCCTCAGGAACAAGACCTGCTGGACAGGGATTCATCTTCCAGCAAGTGATCCCAAGCATGCAGCAAAAGTAGTGAACTGTTACCTAGAAGAAAAAGATACCAATTGAACACACAACCATGGCTTGGCCTGGAGAATGTCCTTATATGTATATTATTAATGCTTTATGGTCTTATATAGAGACTAAGAAGGTGAAACAGCAATCAAACAACTTAGCTAATTTGTGAGAGTCCTGGACATTTGGAACATATTTTACAAACTTACCTTAATAAAATTATGGTGGCATAGAAACAAATTGTACAACTCTGTTTAAAAAATACAAAATATTATTGCATTGCACAACTTATTTGCTTTTGTTCTGTTTTTTTTCTGTAATAATTTTGTTCCACTTTCATTTTTTTAAATTCTATTTTGTAATAGGTTGTAGAAGATGTACTGCCATAGCATGTGGACAAACATCTTCAATGGCTGTTTTGGATAATGGAGAGGTAACGTTTTATATTCTTATTTCTGTTGGCTATATTGGAATCATAATAAAGATAATATGGAAATTTGTTTGTCACAATTGTATGAATATACCAACAATTTTTTTATTGCAGATAAGAGATTCAAAATGTATAATCTGTGCACATAATATTGGATAATAGTAACTTTTAGCAATAACTTTTAAAGATTTTTTAAAAATGTTTTGGATCAAGAAATATGTCAAAAACCTGCTTTGTTGGTTTTCCATGTTTAATAATTTTTTTTTTCTCATTCATTTATAGTTTATATTTATGCATGGCCATTTTAATTTCTTAATTTGTTTAAGAATGATGCAAGAAGGGCATATTCATGTTATGTCAATAAAATGGCATACTACTGACTTTTTCATATTAGTAAATTCAGTATGATATGTAGAAGTTGTAAATGGAGCACTATATCAGCATTTATCAAGAAACAAAGAAATGTTTAAAGAATATCATGCTTTAAAAGTGATTGTATTTCACCTGTGATCAGCATTATTTGTATCTTTCTTGGATTTTGGTGCTATTCAGTTAAATATCAAAAGAAATACCAGAAGTGCAAAACAGGTTTTTGCTGTATCTTTTACTTTTTTATGTTATCTGAACATCTCTTTATGAAGGTGTATGGCTGGGGCTACAATGGAAATGGTCAGTTGGGACTGGGTAACAATGTCAACCAATCAAATCCATGTCGGGTAACACACCTGCAAGGAGTAATCATACAGAAGGTAAGGTATATAGAAAAACTTTTAGAACTTTTTTTTTTAAACTTGAATTCATCCCTTACTAGAATTCACTTAGATATTGAGCATTAACTATGGTACTGTTTTCCTCTCTTCTATTTAACAAACCTTCATTTATTATACCCAAACAATTTGAATTTGGACTCATCTGTAAAGAACATGCTTCCCTAGCTCTGCTCATTACGCTGTTTGTGGTCCACTACCTATTATTACCTTATTGTTTGGTTACCAGTTGTTTTTGAGCAGCTACCCATCCACTGAGACTACTTCATTGCTAATGTGTTTCTCTAATCTGTTCTCAAAATAGAATGTTAACATACATTTATAGCAAGTTGTTGATTAGATCTGTACTTGATTAACATCTATCATATTAAAGAGCATACCTTGAAATGCTTTACTTTTGAATATTTTCTATTTCCTAAGAGAGTGGTTGTTTAATTCAAGTTAAGCCTTGGTTGTATGAACCAATTTGTACAAATTTATAGAAAACAGTTTTACTTACATTTTCAATATTAATGGCATTCAAACAGTCCTGTTTTGTTTTGAATAATGAATTGTATGATGAAAGATATGGGGTTTCATGTGGGTAAAGATTGGCTCTATGTTTGGTTAATCTTTTTATTTTTATGTACAAAAGAAAAACTGTGGATAGAAAATTGTTTAGAAGAATTCAAACCAATTTGATACATAAGATGATACATTTGTGGTTTTTGTTGAATATGCCCAAATAAAACATTTTTTTGATTACTTACCAGTATCAAATTCACTGTTAATGAGCAAAGTAACTCACACTTAACCTTTTTGGATACTAAAGTATTTGACAATGGTAGATATTTGAAATTGATTGTTTTCATAAGAATACATTTTTAGGATTATATTTCCATTTTAAGATCTTTATTTTAGAAAAGTTAAAAAAAAATATCCAGTATTTCAAACCATAGGGCTTGGAAAATAGTTTTTTTCAAAAAAGAACTTAACAACATCCAAAACATCCAAAAGTTTCCATTTAATCTATTTTAATAATGTGTTTAATAAGTTTTTAAAGGAAGTCAACAACCCCATTCACATTGAACTATATCTAGCCATGTATGCAGACTCTTTAAAAAGAAAATTGGAAAGTAATAAAAAAACAAACTTATTCACAAATTAACATAAAGACTACTAAAAGGAATTCAAAACTTTTTAACATCAAAGACAGAATCCTGTCACTCAAACATTCCCACATTATATATAAATATTCATGTTCTCACTGTAACAGTTATATTAGTTCAACACTTCGAACATGCATTAAGGAATACTCAGAGAACATTAACATGATGTTGTCTGTTCATGGGCATGCAGGGAATTGTGTTAGTTCAGTTCACAGCAACCAGTTCTCAATCATTGGCTCAGCTGGTTGTGAGAGGATGCTTAGAATTAAAGAAAATTTATTTATAAAAATTACTACCAGAGCTTAGCTTAAACCAAACTTCAATACCATTAAAACTGAAAATTAGAGAAAAATGGTTTTCTATCACTTTGTACAAAGTAAATTGATTCATCAAACTAATAAAACCAAAGCTCATCTTGAAGTAAATCACCATTCTCTTAGGACTAAAATGTGAGTTGAACTTCTTTAATATTATACTTTCAGTTTTCTTACTATAACTTCTGTTAATAACAATGCCAGTACACTGTCTACAATTTTGCAGGCTTTATATTGGTGAAGGGCTTCTTCATTGATTGAATGACAACCATTTACAGTATATACAAGTTACTGTAGTATGGTGCAGCTTATTTTCAATACTGTACATATAAGTGCAATTAAACAGGGTTAGGGAATTTTAAGAATGTCTCTGATATTGAACAATTATGAACATTCATCTTGATTAAGAACTAATATGAAACATTTTCTAACCTTGAAAAGTCCCATTATTGAAATATAGTTTACTATAATTAGATATTTAGCTAATGTAGATAGACAGATAGATGTATTAAAGTGAATATGTAAACTTTGTTCAAATTAAAACCTATTTTGTGCTTACATTGTTAATGGGCTAAATACATGGATATTAACAGCTGTTAATTGGTTCACTGTACTTCACTATTTTGCTTGTTTCAATCTCTTGGGTTCAAAATTGTTGAAGGTATCTTTTATAAATAGTTTTTCAATAAATGTATTGGAGATCATTGGTACATTTAGTTTATGCTGACTTAATGAAATATTCACTGTGAGAAGTACACACTTTCTTGATATAGATAAAAACTTACCAAGAATATTTTGTAATGTTTTGGTGCAAAAGTAATTGATAAAATTAACTTTTTATGTTACGTACATTTACAAAACATTTATTAAAATTTAATGAATATAAAATTACTGAATATATATTGTAATACAAAAAAGAAAAAATACATGTAGGGGTTACTTCAGCAGCAAAATCAAGTGTTAAACATTAGTTGGATATAAGTATAACTTGTTAAGCTGAAAGTTAGAAGTAATTATGAGTTGTGATTTATTCTTTAATTTATCATTCATGTTTGCCAGTTCTAAATTCTTGGAATTTATTGATTATAAAATAATTTAACTAAAAGATCTCAAGGGCTTAAAAGCAGAATGGGGAAAATTCTCTCAGATGTAGTTTTGTTTATTGGTAAACAACAATATTTATGGTAAAACACTCTTAAGTATAACTTATATTATTTTATTAATTTAGGGGAAAAATCAGAGTTTAAAAATTAACATTGCTTATTTCATTAAGATGTGATGTAAGTTTTCAGTTTTTATATTTCATTTCTAGATAGCTTGTGGATATGCACACACTTTAGCATTGTCAGATGAAGGTGTATTATATGCCTGGGGAGCCAATTCTTATGGTCAATTAGGCACTGGGAACAAGGCTAATCAAGTAACACCAGTCAGAATTGCTGCTGAAATTGGCAGGTAAGCATTCACAGTTTTAAGTGAATTACATAACTTTTTACATGTGTAATTTTCTTTTTATAAAATGCCATGAGGATAGAAGGAGGAACACATATAAAATTACAAATTAAAGGATTTAATTTAGGTTTAATGAAGTTTGTTTTTCTGTGTAATATTTGTAAATATTTAATGTTGCATGTGTATACAGTGATCTTTACTAATGTGTAAAATAATTTTTGGATTGCATGGTAGACAATAAACTTAAGATGATTTGTTTTTAAAATTGGTTCTAAAAATATATTTATTTTGCTGATTCTGACAATAGTTTGTTAAAATTTTGCATGAGGGAACCTTTTTTTTTTATTCATATAATGGCTTTTTATAAAACTCTGGTTTTTGACACAAATTATTATAGTTGATAAGCATTAACAAGTTAAAATTGTTCTCATAGTTTATGAAAGTAAGTATTTTTCAATATCCAAATGTTTTTCCCCCTGATGGTTACTAGTGGTAAGCTTAAAATGTTAAAATTTGGAGTTTCTCTTTCTGTAGTGACTACAGCACAGACGGACCATGTTGCAGCATTGTACTTAAGAACAAACAAGTGTTTTTCAAAAATTTATGAAAACTAAATCCATAGATTTTATGACTCAGTATGTAATTTAAATGATGAAACATAGGCTCAGAACCTAGTATGCATATGTTTATGCTACTTTTGTTTAATAATAGATTAATCATTTGAATTATAAACGTTAATACCAATTTCAATATCAATTTCTGTGTAAAATATTTAAGTAAACTTGAAGACTTAATGAAGTGTACCTTATCATTTTATATCATCACAAAACTGTCATGTTGATTGAATATTGCATAGAGACATGGAAATATTGAATGACAAAATAATTATATTCATATTATAGAAAACAGCTTAAATTTGAGTGTGCAGTAGAATTAAGTCTTTACAATGGAAAATACATTTTCTTTTAAATTATTGATTTGAAAACTGATTCATTTGCAGGTTTTGAAACTTAAAAAATTGCCTTATAGTAAATTTTCTTTCTAACATATTTACTGTTCAAATATGTAAGCTAAAACTAAACCATAGGAGTGGTTCACTTAAAAATTGGATTCAGATAATTTTAGGTGATCATTCCAGGTATATAACAAAAAGTAGACATTTGTTGTCAAGGTGAAATTAGCTACATCTGTATTTAATGTTTTGTAATAGTAATAGTGTGTGTGGGGTCAACTTTTTCAAGTTCGTGAGCAGACTTTGTTTTGTGGAAGTGTAGTGAGAGACATTTCCAGTAAGCCTTAGATTTGTTTTCATAATCCCATTTGTTTCATTTTCCTATTTATTTACTTATACTTTTGACTTAATTAAGAAGTTACACATATAAATAATCAACATGAGAAAAGAAATAGTGATATGAAGTCAATATTCACTTATTTTTGAGATCAGATATTAATTAGATACATGTGAAGTCAAACTTCTTAAACTAGTTTTTCATTTGAAGAATTTAAATTTAGACATTTTATTGCAGTAATAAAGTATTGGATAGTAGATTTTGGTAGTGTTATTAACAAGATTTTTTTGTAAAAGTTTTAGAACATACACCATACTTTAACACCGGTTACTTAAGAAACTTTTAAGAAAATTATAAATATTTTACATGTGTATCATAATTTTCCAGGGTTGTGGACATCAGTGCATCACACTACAACCATATTTCAGCTGTCATGACTCAGACATCTAAGTTATATATGTGGGGACAGTGTCGGGGACAGTCTGTGACACTCCCTGAAGAGTCACCTTTCCACACCCTACATGATGTTTTTGCTTGTTTTGCCTCTCCTGCTGTCACCAGTAGACCCATGGAACTAGGTGACTGACTATAAATTATTTTCAACAGACAACTAGACAGGTTTTACTGATAAATTGATAAAATTAGGAGAAAGATGTGTTGTTTCACACACAGATAATTGTTTTATTTGTAGATCCATTAATCTATGTGGGAATTGTAGTTTCACACAGGAAGTTAGGTTTATTTGTAGATCCATTATTAATTGTGGTTATATGGTTGAGTGACCTATTTTGTCACATTGATAGAGAGATAGTTGTTATTTCTGTATCCAAGAAGTTGTTTGTATATGGAAACACAATAGCAGTATTGTAATGTGATGCTATTTCCACATGTAATTGTTTACCTTGGCTCTGTGATAGTGTTTGAAGGTTTTAGTATTGTTTTACGCATTCTGTCAGTTTTTGTTATACACACAGGGAAGTAAGTCTATCAATTACAAGATACAATTATTAATATTTCTTTGCCAAGAACATTCATTTAAGAGCTAACAACAGTTTTTAAATAGAGTACTTCAGTGAGAAATGTCCATAGCTCCTAATTCTCCTCGTCTAAATTAGTTGTTAATCTTCTTAGTGCTCAGTTTTCTTCCAGTATTTTATCATTGAAAAGAGAGAATGGTTAAGGTGATGCTTTTTTTTTTCCTCTGAAGAAAAGAGATTGTTGTATCATTTTCCCTAACCCATGCTTGTGGATCTAGGAATTAGTCTGTTTACCTGTAATTAATTTATATATATTTTTGTCTGGTTAGCTTCATAACTACCTCTAAAAACCTAAAAAGCATTAATTTCTTAAACCAAATCATTATGATACAATCAGAGAAATATCATTATTGTACTTTATGCTATTTTTGGAAATGTGTTCAGGCAGTATGTGTAGTATCTTTACAGAAAAGCTCAACATTATTTTATCAAATTCATGAAAGAAATTAGCACATTAATATATCAGCAAATAATTTTTTTGTTTTTCCACGTGTACCATTTAATTTACTCATTCTCTTTTCAGATGTTTGTATGGTAAATAGAGTAGGAGATAGTCTTCGACAAGCATTTGATGACCTTGTAAGTAGTTCATTTTAAGTATAACTTATAAACTACTGTGACCAGACTTGTTAAACATTCCCAAGACCACATAATAAATATCAGTTCCTTTATCTTAATGCATGTTTGTCTAGGCTTGGTTGAAATATGCTTGGGTATGAAACATAGGTTTTCTTTTGGAGCTTGTGTATTAGTTGGGTTTCTTCAAAAAAACCTGATATTCAGGAATATTTTTTGTAGTGCTAACTGATGTTCATTTAGTCTTGTGAATGAAACAGTACATGTTATTAATCATGCTAATAGTGGCAAAGGATCATATTTTATTAAAACAATACCTAGAAAGTCTGTTTCTTTAATCAAACCCATTTCCCACAGAGTACGAGTGATTTGAAAATTTCTATAGAAGGGAGAGTTGTGCATGTTCATAAGGCTATTCTAAAAATTAGGTAAGTTATAATTTACACAAAACTAATAAATTATTAAATGACATGGAATATTTTATGTCAGTCATACATTAAAAAAAGTTAAAAAAATTTTTTCCCCTCGTCATATCACATTACAAAATACTATTACTTATGTCATAATTCATTAATCAGAGGTCACATTACGTTTAAGAAATGCATACAATAAACACAAGTACAACCAAAAGTAATTATTGTGTGTCTTCAATTTAGCGTTGACAAACAATATAATAAAAACTGTGTAGGTAGGCTGCCTCATGTACCTCAATTCAGATGTTTTGTTCCCAGTTTAGGCTAGACAAAGAAATCAAAGAACTATAATTTACATTATCCAGCTGAGAAATGGATGTAACAAAAAAATAACTGTACACAATACTCTAATTTTTGCACATAGGAGAATGTTTTGTGTAATATACATGTACAAACAACTTTTCATCAGTGTGACCTCTGATTAATTCATTGACTGTACCTGGGACTAAAGCACTTTATACCTAGTTGTGACTATATTGTACAGAAACAGGAATAAACCCAAGTGTACTGCTTCCAGTGCATCTAACTATTACAAGGGGAGAATGTGTTGCTAAAGAACGTTTGATTAGTTACTCCTGTTAAGTGAAAAGAAAGAAGGTTTTTAAAAAATGATCATAACAATTGTTGTTATATATTATTGAAGGTATTATTGGAGAGTGTTGTATGCATACTTGAAGGTTTGAGTGTTTAGCACTTTTTTTTTTTGAGGGAAATAAATGTGGTGTGTATATAAGGATACCTAGAGGTTTGAGAATAATGAAAATTCGTTTATTTTTATGTGTACAGAGTTAATCATTGCTTTACAAATTTGGTTTGGTCTATACTTTTTTCCCTTTACTAGTGGCCAAGTGTAGCCCAGTGGTTAGAATCCTGATTATGGATCTGTGGTTCCATTGTTTTTACTACAGAAAATTAAATAAGAAATGATGCTGCACACTTTGGGCTCTGATTATGTTATAAGAGCAATGGTCGAATCTCACTCTTCAGTTTGAGAAGAGTAGACCAAGAGTTGGTGATAGGTGGTGTTCATTTGCTGCCTTCCTTCTAATTCTGTGGCTTTTCAACCTCTTATTTCATTCCTTCTATCACAGAACCTTAACCCCTAACCTACTCTTAAAATTTATATACTTTTGAATATTTCTTATTTTATTTGCTTGCATGTGTAACTGTGTGGAGAAGACTGAATAACAACTGGCTCATTCTTAAAAATACATTTGGTCTGTGATTAGTTGACACTCAATAATAAAAAACAAACAGACTCTTACTTGTTGTCATTTTTGGGGAACCCCTGATGATCCTTTACAGAACCCTGGGATTCCACAGAAAAGAGTTTGAAAATCACTGCTCTAATTTATCACTTCAAAATGAGGGTTACTAGTGCAGAGAGTCCTTGAGTAAGTTTGCACAAATATCTAAGAAGATATCTCTGCTAGTACCATTTGTTGGATATATTATTGAGTATGACACAAGAGTATACGTCGAAACATGTAGAGTGTACGAGATTGTTTTCCAGTCTCATCGGGTTTTTTACCACTTTTTAATCTTGTACAGTAAGTTATTATTTTAGTAATTTGGAGACTGGAAACAATCTCATTTTCATATAATTGTGTATAAAATAATCGTTGTTTTAAAAAAATTTTTAGTTTTAAAGATTGGAAATTCAAACCGTGCCAAAAATAATTTTGAAAAAAAAAAAAAAAAA